GATTGCTTCCTTGTGCAAATGGCTGGGGTTTGCTCTTGCAATGCTGAAGCTGAATTGTTTTAGTCCCCTCGATGATTTGTTGTGTTTGTCGCCAGGCTTCTGTGTGCACTGAGCATCCACTGTGTTGCGTCCAGAGGTGGTTCCAGCCCGGTGCTGTGCAGAGCACCGTGTCCGTCTCTCTCTGTGGTTCCTGGTGAAGCCTGAAAGGCAGCCTGGCTCCTGGAGGATGGAAGGTGCTGTAATAAATGTGAGCTCATAATGCTGTTGTTAAAAATAACCGGAGCTAAATTAAAAAGAAAAAATTCATCTTATTCAGCCCTACCCCAAGGGGGAAATGGACATGAGGAATTGGGCAATCCTTCTGTAAGTTCTCTTTCTTTAGACTATATTTAAACCACACAGAGAGCCAGATTCTCAGCTGGTGTCAATTGTTGTTGACTTCAGTAGAGTGAAGCTGGTTTACACAAGTTGAGGCTGCTAAATGCCAGCATCTGGATGCAGCTGAGACACAGCTGCAATTACTTTTGCAGAAACCTCCAGTCTGAGGCTGGTTCAAAAGCTCTGAGCTCTCCTGAGTGCTTGAGCCATCAGTGCTCTGATTCAGCAGCTTTTTCGGGATGTGAAGGGTTATGAAAGGACCTTTACTCAGGTCAAAATTAGCTCTAATCTCAGCTGGGTTCTGCAGGTCTTGTGTCTGTCATTCTGTTGTAATCACCGCTTTAGCTGGGCTCCTCTGAAAAACTCTGCAAAACCTTTTTACTTGCTGCTTCACCAGCATCATCTCCTGTCTAGACAGTCTAATTATGAGAAGCAGGGAGCGTACAGCGTGATGTGTAGATAACCCTGGATAACTCCAAGGCAACTGTGTGCTCCTTCTATCCCTCCTCTGACTGCCCTCCGAACTAGTTTTTCCAATTTGTTGGCTGCTCTAGCATGAAGATTAGCAGAGTAGGGACTGTACAATGCCACCTGGGCAACAGTCATTTGAACTTTGCCTTTAGAAGCAAGTGCTCCAAGCCATAGAAATGGATAGGCAAACCTCATGAAATTGCAGTGGGATCTAGGTTTAGCCTTACCTACTTCTGTTTTTCTGTATGCCTAAATCTCTCTGGATTAAATAAACAACCTCCACCACTATCAGCAGAATGCATTAAATCTGTAAGCTGCTTTGTGTATTTTTTTGTGTACTTATTGTATCCACTCTAATTCTCTTCTTATCTGTGGACTCGTTTTTTATTTACGCCAGCATAGACTGTATCCAAACTCAAGCTCTATTTCAGCTATGTCCTTTACCTAAGAGCTTTTAAAGCTACTGATTTAACTGTCAAATAATCAATAAGTCTAAAACATTGGACTGCATTTGCTTAATTCAGTTGCTCTCCATAGTATGCCACATCCAGGAGTTTGTAATGAGAGGAAAAAACCATATTTTTTTCTGTTGCCCTTCTTTAATATGTCATATTCCCTGATTCCTTCGCTGTAACTGGTACCAAAGAGAATTGTCTGATACTTAGTAAGGCCCCTGGGATTCAGACTCTTTCCCAAGTCTGCACTAGCCCTGGGGTGCTGCGCGGGTTTACATGGGTCTCTGCAGGAGCTGAGATGTGTGAGAATAATCTATTCTCTCCATTTTGATTCCAAATCAATGTGCTTTAAAGTGATTATAGGGAGATTTTTTTTTTTTTTTTTTGTAGCAGCTTTGGAAAAGTGCCATGCTGATCCATGGGGGGTGTGCCACCAAGCAGCCCACTTCTGCTCCATGGGAGGCACCTTTTGTCCTCCTCCTGGCAGTGACATGGGTGAACTGATGCTCTGGGATATGCATTTAGGTTGCAGCTCTTTATAGTCAAGATCAAAAAGCCGCTTTTTATTGGTCCTGGTAATTGAAACATGCCATGAACGTGGATTACTTGAAAGAAGTTGGTACTAGAGCTAGTTAATGAGTAACCTGCATAAATCTCCCAGCTTTGGGCTCTGGTAGGAGTTGCTCAGTTCAAGCTGTGCAGTGCTGCCTCTTTAACTAAAGCCTGTTTCTCAGCTGGTGGAAAAGTCTATCTGGGTACTCTTCCTTCAGTGTAAGGTTGGGGTTTCATCTGAATTCACTTAGGACACATGGAAGTGTATCCTTATAAAGAGCTGAATTTGGTAGCTGACATGCTGAAAGAGTGGACCTCAAATCCAGAGACCCTGAAGCTAAACTACAGGTGGGATTTCTGGCCCAGTCTAAGCAGGGTGGTCCTCAGCCAGCCATCCACCCAAATCTAAGACTCCAGCTGGATCTGTGGCTCTAGGACTCTTCCAGAAGGAGATGATCTCCTAGCTCAGTAATCATCAGAGCCAAAGCCAGGCCAACTCACAGCCTTGTGTGGAAATGGGAGACTAGTCTTTCCCCTTCCCAGCACTTTCTACTCTCAGGTTGGTGGTCTGTACTAGCTGAGTATCAGTTTTGGGTTGAGTTGTTGGACACTTGCTCACATTGCAGAATTCAGTGCTTGCATATAAACCCAAAGAAGAAGGAAGCTCCATGTGAAGAAGGCACAGTTCTTTCCCTTCCTTTTTCCTCCAAGGGTGCATGGACATTGCATTGCAGTGGCTTTCTGCACCTGATGCAGTTCTCAACCAGCCTGTAACCAGCTCTCCCGTGCAGCCAGCCAACAGGGCCGGGTAATCCCTTCTCCCTATGTTAACTGGATAATCATTGGTACATTTTGTACTGCACTGCCACTAAACCTGCAGCAATAGCAGGAAGCTGGTTGGCATGTAATCTGTGTGACAGCTGTAGGAATACTGGGTTTGTACTTCCTGAAGGTAAAGGGTACCAGGCTGAGTGTGCGTTGAAGGTCCCACAATGGTTATTTTACTCCTGTCTTTGCTGAGGGATGTTTCCACAGAGTGTACAGTGGCAAGCTTTGAACCAATTTGTTGTTCCTTTTGCTTGCGATGAAATTAGTGCACTTTTTTTTGATGTAAACTAGCCATAAGATTGTTTATTTTGGCACAGAGATGCATGTACTTTCTGAGATGCAAGGAATTTAGCTACGGGGGGGGGTGCTTAGTTTAGTCTGTTGAATTTGCAAAACAGATGGCAGAGAGGAAAATGTGGTGGTGGTGGTAGGCTTTAGGACAGGGTTTTCTTAATGTTTGCTGCCTCTGTAGTTTTTTGTTATTCACTGGCTGAGGCAGGGTGGGTTTCCATCACATGGAGAATAAAGACAACACAGAAGACTGAAATACATTTTGCACACAGGGAAACAAAAAATATAATTTGGACTTGATCTGTCATTTCGTGGGCATCTTCTCTGAGGCAGGACTCCCGCTTTCTAGGGCTGGTGGAGGTACAGAAGCACCATGGAGGCCTTGCACATTGGCCTGACTCTGCCCTCCTGACCTCTGGAGACCTGTGGCCCTCAGCAGATCTACGAGGCATCTGTGATGGCATTGCTGTTCTGCTGCAGAGCAAAAGGAGGGAAATCTTCACAAGATGTGTGCCCCAGAGCTGGCTGGGATGGGGTGAGGCCATCACCATGCTACCAGAGTGTCCCCTCAGTGTTAATGAATTTAGGTACAGCCCCCTGTTGAAGTGAGAAAGAGTCATTGTCCTCAGTGGAGAACTGAAGCACGGAATAGAGAAGATAGGACCCATTCAAGGTCCCACAGAGGGTGTCTAAAGGAGAACGAGGGTGGATTCCAACTCTGTTCAGCCAAGTATTTGAGCCTTGTGTCAGGCGGATTGTTTTGGAAAAGGCCAGAGTTTCTCTGTTCCAAGAGCCAAGTCAGTGCCAAGTTGGAAGGGATGCCTGAAAGGCTTCTCTGTGTCCATTTGTGGTGACTTGTGCATGCTGGGTTGTAGGGCATCAGGAGAAGTGCCACTCTCCACTGTATTTCCAACCAGAAAGAGCATCTGGTCTCACGGGCTCTGTCACTCTGCTTTATATCTTTGGGAGACTTGCCCAAACTCCCTGCAAGCCTTCATGTTCTTGTTTCTGGGCTCATTCTGGGTGGCCAGTAACTCCTTCTTTGCAAGATCGTCCCAGGAAGGATCTTAGAACGATCAGCCCTAATCAAACTTGGCTCTTGCTTGGGACAGGATCATGTTCCTGTGCATACCACTGTGGATGTGGCAGGCAAAGAATTCGTGATCACATCTGATGACCTTGCCTTCAGGGCGAAGTGCCAAGAATGCCCCATGTTTTCTTGGGGTGGGGTGCTGTCCACCACTAATGCCCAGCAAAGCGTGATGACAGGGGTGAACACACGCTGGGATTGCTGGGACATTTGCTGGCAGGCTGGGTTGGGGAGGATCCCAGATGCCACCACCTTGTTATTTTGGGCAATGGACAGAGCTGTTGAGCTAGATCTTTCACAGCTTCAGCCAATTTTCTGCCCCTATAGAAACATTTCACAGACATTAATGCTTTGCCCACCTAGGTGTCATGTTTCTGGGAGACCTTTATGCATCCCACTATGAGCCCATTGCAAATGCTCTTACCCTTCTTCAAATCTCAGAGCTAAAGCACTGCTGCTAAAGGTGCTTGAGCATTTTGCAAGCCTCCACTGGCAGAATGGTGGCTGTCTTGCAGGTCAAAAAGTTTTCTGTCTCCTTATTGAACTCTTTTTACTGAGGCTAGTTGGATACCAGTTGTGTGTGGACAAATGCTGCTGGGGTGAGTGAGGAGTTATTCGGGTTTATTAGCAACCATTTAACTCTTATCCCTTTCAGGTTTTTTGGAGCTTCAGAAGTCATATATCCCTCCAGTTTCCCTATGGAGAAGTTGAGGCATAGTGAGTTGCAGCAGTTTGTCCCAAGCAAGTCAAACTAGAGAAGTGCTTAAACTCCAAATTTTGTATTATTCAGTCTAGGTCTTAATCAGAATATCCCTTGGTTTCTGGTATTAGAGCTTGCTTGGAAGAGACAGAGTGTGTCTGTGTGAAGAGAGGGTATCCTGTCCAAAGGCAAATGGCAATTGCCTGAAGCATACTTTCTTTCTTCTCCCAGAGCACCCCAAATGAATAAATGGTTGGCTGGAGCAGAAGCAGATGATTCTCATGGACGGACCAGCTATGGAGCATAAAGAAAGTAAGTGCCTTCCTTGAGCAAGGTGGCGTTTGCCATATGCTGTAGCATCACGGTGCCCCGTTGCAGGGTGGTGCCTCCAAACTGAAATGTAGCCTCCAGGGATCACCTTGGAGCAGCACTCTCCAGCCTAGGCTGGATTTTTCCATGCTTTGTATGCAAGTGTTGTTGCCAACACCTGCACAAAGCAAAGGCATCATGCTAACAGACCTGAAGAGCAACATCGGGTACCTGTTCGGCCGTGACAGGGTGCAGGGCCAGGTGAAAGTGTAAGCAGCAGCACTGGAGGTGAAAATGAAGCTGGCAGTCTTATGCTATGGGTTTTCTGCTAGGCCACAGAATTGAGTATCTGTAGTCTTCTGTTCTGCCTCACTCCATCATGTATCAGAGCCCTATCTTTCTAGTAATTGTCCATCTGGAGCAATTTGCAGACACCTGTGGGAAACACTGAGATATGCCACCATGCAGCATGTCCAGGAATGGCCTGGCCCGCTCAGTGGTCCTGCCTAAATCCCTGAGCTCTTCCCAAATTCTGTTTGCATTGCAGGTTAACTGAGAAAGAGGGGAGCATGTGTGAAAGGAGGAAGGAACATGGATGTGTCTGCATTTTTGTGACTCTCCGCAGGCTTTTCAATGAAACACAACACGTCCCCTTGGTATTATGGGTTCACAGATTCCCTCTTGAAGCCTTTAGATGTGGATCACTGCCCCATGTTTGTGGATGCTGCACAGACAGCTGACAAGAAGACCATCCCAGTCAAGCTACCAGACTAGATACCAGATAAAAGGCCAAAGTGGGATAGCTCAGACATGTGGGTAGAGTAGAGCTGGAAGGAGAAAGTGACAGTGCAACAGAAGGGTGTAGTGGAAAATCAGGAATTTCACCTTGTAACTAGTCTAACCAGGACACTAGGGGAGAAGGTTTCCAGGCATTGTTGAAGCAGCTTTGCAAATTTTTATAGGGAGTTGTATGGGTTTTTGTTGTTATTTTTTTCCATGAATATGTATGAGCACAGAAGTGTTTGACAAAGAGCCAAGTCTTGAACTTTGGTGCGTTACCCCTCACTTAGCCATTGATTGGAGGGTGCTGCAGGACACCACCATTCAGTTCATGGGAAGAGACAGTTAGAAAGGGAGGAAAAGGCAGTCTACAGGAAAGGAGACCATTTCAGAAATCCCTGGGAAGTCCTTGCATTGGCTGGCCATTTCAGACCCTCTGTACTCACTAGTCTGCCTTCTTGGCTGCAGTGCCTGTTGTGGTGCCAGCACAAAACCTACCCTGCATGTGCACTTCAGAGACTCACCTTCTTGTGGGGCAGCACATTCACGGGGAACAGTAGGTGTGAGGGGGACAAATGCACCAGGGGTGTATGGCATGTTGTCAAGAGGAGGAGTGTGACCTCTGCACAGATTTAAGTTGAAAACTACTTTGTCACCTTGTTGTGCAAGAGTGTCTGTAGCAGAGGGGATGTGCGGGATGCACAGGAAGGAGGGGTGTGCCTGCATGTGTGCATAAGGAAGTACATGCAGCAGCTGTTGTAATTGTTTTAATAAAAGAATATTTCCCTGAATTTCTCCTTTGGCACCTGAGGGCCCTTCCCAGGATGCCCTTTCTAAAGCTGCTGTTTGATTTCCAGGGCAGATGCAGTACACACACATACACACACACAGAGTTGGCCCCATCTCGTTCATGCAAACCCACAATCCCATCAGCACATGTCTCCTTTCCCCTTTGCTGAAAGGGAAGGGGGAGTGCGGGGGTTGAAATAATGACAGAGCTGATTATAATTAATATTTTTTTTATGTCTGAAGAGTGAAAGTCCTGCCCAAGTCCCCCAGCTGAGCACAAGCCAAAGTGCTAAATCCCTGTAGGGGTGTGTTTTATTACTGACGCTCTGCGTGTCGAGACTGGTCGCAGGGTCTGATGCTGTGTGTGTGGAATTTTTGTGGCTATTTTCTATTGTGCCAATGAAAAGCAGGATCCCATCCATATAATAAAAAGGAAACTTGAAGGTTTCCACACCTACATGGAGGTGAATATTTGCAGCATTAGTGTTTTAATTAAGTATTTTATCTTTGCATGACTTCCCTGTATGAGCCCATTGCAAAAGATGGAGCAGATGTTACAAGGGACAGAAGATGATGGAATTATCAATATCCCCTCCCCAAAAGGTTTTGGCTGCTCCTTGATTAGGCTGGTCTGTAGTTGAGTGGTTTTACAGTCTCATAATGCTTCATTGGGTGGATTTTGCTAGGTTTGATTTGTCCCTTAATGCTCCTCTTTCCAGGAGGATAGGGACTGGGGGGCGTTGATTGTTTCTTGATCCTCTCTTGATCAGCTGAGTGATCTCAAGCAGGTCTCTTCAGCTCCCCAAGCCTCCATTTTGTCTGCTTGCCTGATGTCACACAGCAGATTGAAGGCTGAGCTGGCTATTGAAGCTCTTCTTAGCCAGGCTGTGTCCACAGGATAACAGTGAGGCAGCAGTGGAGCAGCTACCCCTCTCAAATCAGTCCAGAGCCATATCCTGCAAGCACTGATCACTTCAGTGGGCTGAAAGGGAGACCCTCAGCACCCACCCAGTTAACAGGAGGAGGAAGTAGTAGTTTCCTATGTGATACCTTAGAGGTACCTTTAACTGGGAATAGCAGGAGTACTGGCTGCAATCCTGCAAGCTTTCTAAGATGGTCCAAACATTTTAGATGGAAGAGTGTGGAGGGCATAGCCAAGAGCCTGGGGGACCTGAATGGTGTTTTTGCATGTGCAGCCCTTAGTCTCTCACAGCAAATTTTGACGAGCAGAGAGTATGTGGCACTCCCCTGAGAGAGAGGCTGCCTGGGCACAGTCTCCTGGACCTTCCAGAGTTCCCCTCTCTCTCTGTCCTTCTCACAAAGGAAGGGTGTGTTGTCTTTGCTATAGATGGTTTTCTCGTGCCACCTTAGCCGGTGATAGTCTGTGGGAACACAAGCCCATGGGTGGCAGCTCACATCTTCCCCAACTGACTTCAACCTTGTCTCTGGTGAAGAAGAGGAAGTTTCTGTGCAAGGTGGCTCACTGTCATCTTTCCCCGTGTCTATTGGCAGGAGCTCCCCCAGGAATATGGCTGAATAAACACCAGCCTTGGTGGCTGCCCCCTTCATTTCAGGATGGTTGCGTCTCCATCTCCCACGCAGCTGGCCCATATACTGCTGTTGCTCAACCTCCTCCTTTCTGCCCTCTTGTCAATGACATGGACAAAAGCGCCCTGTAAATCTGTTCAGCTTGTAAGCTTCAGTGCTTGACCCTGGCTCCCCAGCTTGTACTTGCAATACCTGCAATCCCCAAGTGGTCAGTCATCCAGGGATGAGATGCTTCAGGCTTTGAATCCCAAAAAATACATTCAGTTCTGTTTGAAAGAGATCTGAGACTTTCTCTGAAACTCTATTATTGTTTTCATTGGGGTTTTTTGACCTTCAAAATCCTCTTTTTTGTTTTCTCACCCTCAGAACAGCACACTCAGCATCTAAAGGACAAAGCTGGCTGGGGCACGCGGGCCCTGAGCAGCATAGGAGCAGCCAGGAGAGAGGAAGGGCATCAGGATGGCTGTGACAGAGCATATGCGGCTACTGCCCTCAATTAGCTCGTGTGGCCGTCACATTTCAAATGAAAGCACAGTACGTCTCCCTTGTGGGTCTTGCTGAATTTATAAGCTGGGACCACAGTATAACTTAATTTCCTGAAATGTCAAGTGGTTCGTATTGGCTGCATGCTGTATTGGTGTTTTTCTTATGAACACTCTGTACTCCTATTTCCTGCAAAAAATTCCTATTGGTGCTTGATGATCGCTTAATAAGAGAAATCAGTAAGGACAGGGAAAGTTCACATCCTGCAGATGAATATAATGACTACTAGCTTTCTTCTGGATTGCCAGAGGCTTTTTTTGGTTGTGGTTTGATTTATTTGTATTTTTATCCACCCAGCCAAGAACACTGATCTGAAGCTGTATCCTGCAAATGCTGAGCCCATCGGTGATCTGTAGGAGGCCCTCAGCAACCATCAACCTCACATGAGAAGGAAAGGGTAGAATTTCCTGGATGATAAAGCTGGGAAAAGGTATCTCAAATTGGGAATAGCAGCAATGTTGAGGGTAGAGCTGTCAATCTCATGTTTTTACTACCTGTCTTGTGATAGACTGTGTTTTCTGCTTGATTTTGCAAGAGAAGACAGCTTGTATAATCGTAGTGTGGGTGTGAACTCTTTATGATGGTGACTTCAAGTCTCACAGACAAGTCTGAAGAATCCCAAATGGATTTATTGTTATTTTTTAAATCTCAGTTTCTAGGCAAGCCTTTCTATAATTTCTTAGGTGTGATTTCTGAGCCCTGTTGGCTCTTTATTCAAAATCAGGCTTTTGTCATTCTTGTGTGAGCTAATGCTCTTTTAGACGTGGAGATACTGGGTTTATAGGGAACCTGGTGGAAAATAAAAGAAGACTTTTCTTCATGATAGTTTTTATATGACTAATTCTAATGCTCTTCTGTCTAGAGCTTTCCTGCTTCAAAGTGCTGTGCAAGCTATTAGCTAACTGTACAGCTTAGATAAATGAGTAGGTAAATAAAATTCCCTGCCATTTGGAGGGCATATGAACTCCTCCTAAGCCCTTAGTACTGCCGATCGGCACCGTGTCTCCCAGGGTTTGTTCCTAGGACCAAAGTATGGTGCTGAGCAGGGAGCCACTGAGAGCCACCCAATGGGAAATATTTGTCAGAGGGATTGACTGACAATTTAGACTGTCTGAACATGGGCCTAAAAGTAAAATGTTGTCTTGTCATGCTGCTTGCTTTCCAAATGTCTTTTGCAATCTGTGTCCTCTCCTCTCCCAGCTTTGCTTTCTCGGCTCCTTGGGTCTGAGGGAGGAAAGGACTAGCAAGTAGTTGTAACCGAAAGCCTTGCCTGATTAAATGTCAGGAATGTATTGAAGATAATGCAATTTTTATGCCACTCCCTATATTTTAGAACCTAAGGGCCAATAAGATAAACTGGTCAAGCAAAAATAAAAAAAAAAAAAAACGTAATGAGCATAACGAGCATTTTAATATTAAAATGATAGTCAGCCTTGGTCTGCAGCTGGGGAGTGTACCAGCCTTTCTGAGAAGGAACAAAGCATATTTTCTCATCACATCACAGGCATAGGCATATTCCTCAGTCCAGCTCCTTCCTATCTGGGTGCATTACATATTCCACATGTAGGGGTAATCATCTGGTTATGCAGTAATGTCTTGGTTCCCTAAATATTGGAGAATTTTAAGACATTGGGGTAAATAAACCTTGGTGAAGGCTACTGCCTGTTGCAGAAGGCATAATCATTAATTTTTTGTTGTTGTGATCCCGTGTCATCTCTTTCTGTGGCCGTGCATACACTGCCTGTCCGTAGAAAGCATTAATGCGTAATCACATTCTGCAGAAGGCTGTTTGAGATGATTAAAAAAAATACCCTATTTACTTGCTTTTAAGGAGTATAATTACAAGCAGGAGCTCATAGCATGGCAAAGCTTAGACGAGGTGTTGTGAAGGAAAAAAATACCACTCTTGTGGTTTGGGGTGCAACAAGCATGCAAACTGTCCCACCATTTGCAGGCGCTCTCTGGCTGTCGAGGGCCTTTTTGACCCAAGGGGGAGACTCTGTCAGCTGTCATATGGGGCGAAGGATGCAGTGACTGATGATTTCGTGTCCAGCCAGCGTGAGGGCAGTGGTGTGTAAATCCATGTACGTCCTCATTAATAAGGCCATTACTTTGCATTAATCTTACCACTCTTGCTACCCAACTTTCTGATACAACTTTAAGAAGGGTTACCTGAACTGAGGAAAGAGAACTTTTGCACTTCACAGATAAATCGCCTTTTGGGAGGTCTAGCCCCGTTGGCATCCTCTGCCCCAACTGAGTTGGAAGTGGCTCTTGGGTGCTGCCGGGGGAGTAGCCAGCTGGGGTCACTCAAGAGCATTGCAAGAGGCTCTCTCGTCTCCTCGCCCCAAGGGGCCGAGATATTTAGACAGCTGCCTCACTATGAATGGGACTCTCTGGCAAAAGAATTAAGCAAAGATTAAAATCAGTTTTAGCTGTTAAATGTGTGCTTTGCACAGCATTTAGCAACTAAAAGGCTAATTATCTTTGAACTTATGCACGTGGTTTTAGATGTGATCCACACAACTTGCTATTTTTTCTGTTGTCTACAAGGAACTGAAAATCAGGATAAAAATGAGTTGTTGGTGTCAGTAAGGGCACATATTTTTGAGTAGGCTGGAGATGGTGCCCAGTCTGCAGAGAAGTAGGGCACCTACTGAATGAAAATAGGTTAAAAAAAAATATTTTAACATTTGTCATTTAGACTCTCCTATTTAATGGGTGTTCAAGCTCTTTAAGGAAATACAAGTGTGCATGAAGGTAGGAAAATGAGACTATTCTGAAAGAAAGCCAAGCTCATACCTGGAGCAAAAACTTACTCTGAATATTAATGCTTGCTGGGCACAGAGAGTAAAATATGGGAGGTGAAGAGTGCTGCAAGACCTACGTAGGTCAGTGTAGAGCAAATCAGATTGAGATTTAGAAAGTTCTGCAGAAAAGATAAGGAATAATTTGGTGCTTAGTTGCAATATAAGAGAGAGAAGCTCCACACCCCAGTGCACTCTGGATGCTTTAGAATGCTGCATCAGGCTCAAGATACCCATGTCAGTAAAAATATAAACAATGGGTGGAGGTAACATGGTTGATAAAATGTTGGTGCCATTTTAAAACCCTTTAGGGAAGCAAGTAAGCATTGCCAAATGGTGATCAAAAATTCTGGATTTTCTCATCCATCATGAGCCAAATCATGACATAAAAGAAACTATTTCAAGCTTTTTTTTTTTTTTTCACTTATACTTTCTTAACATTTAGATTACCCTTACATTATTTTTTAAGATTCTTTCTTAGCCATAAAGCATACAATTATTACAGAAATGGCATCAGGAATCAAAAGTGAAATTATCATACAGCCACTGAAGGATGGCTGGTTGGAAACCCTGATCTCCAACCCATTTCTTGCATGGCCTTTTGTACAGTTGAAGATGTCCCTCTTGCTCCTCTTAACCAGCTTTCTCCTTGCTTAAACACCTCAGTTTAAGGTAGTTGCTGGAGACAAATTTTTTTCTGGACGCTGTGGTTTGTCAACATCTTTCTTGAAATGTGAGTCTGAGGCTAGAGGCAATCCACTAGTTGAGACCTTACCTACATCTAGCAAGGAGGATGGATGCCTCTACAAGCATAGTCTCTTGTGCTGATTTTTATGGAACTAAACTTTCCCCCCCTCCCAATTTTTCCAGATTATCAAGATCATTTTGACTTTTGATCCCCTTCTGTATATAATGACACCTCTTCCTAGCTTCGCCTGCAGAAGTAGTATACATATTCAATTATTTAATTTGATTTTGGTTTAGAAACTATTGAATGGAACTAATTCTCAGATACAAGGCTGTCAAGCAGAACACCCAAGATGATGAGACTTATGAAATGGTCATCAGTTGTTGCAGTTACATCCTTCAGGCAGCATCACTTTTGCCCTAGGTAGGAGAGGAATGCTACCTATTTTTCTCTCTTTTTTTTTTTTTTCTTTCTGTGTTCCACGGTTCTTTGTGTTTCAAAGCACCTAATGGAAAGTGTCTAGAACTATCTATCTTGGGTCCAGAGTTCAGACCTTCTGATCTCAGCTCAGGTTTAGAGTCACAGACTGACCTTTCACAAAGCTCTGCAGCTTTGTCATACCTCTGTTTTGTCACATGTAAGGTATAGATGAATAAAGTTACTTCTTCAAGCAGCGGTGAAGGATTCTGCATTGAGATCAGAGAACCAATGCTATGAAAAGACCAGATCCAAGAAAAAGTCAATGAGAACTTTTGCTTTTGCTTCAGGAAGTGTTGGGCCAGGCTTGAATTGTAGGACAATAAGACTTTATGATTTCTAAAGTTTAAGGTATGGATAATGCATTTGAAAAATCCATTAAGGATAGTAACATGCTTTAACAAAAGAAAGATCTCTAGCTCAAGCAGCTTTGATTTGAAGATACCAAGGGAAAAACAATTTCTCTTAGTGATTTAACAATGCAAATAGTCTCTGAGGTGATGATGGGAAGATGAATATGCTACTCAGAGTGGAGATGAGCAGCAGCAAAGCATTGGTGTGGCAGGGTTCACAAAAGGCAGCCTTTGAATGACAAGCACCAGCTTGGGCAAGAGGTTTTCACTGGGAGCCAGCCAGGAGAGGTTAGAGCTCTGTGCAGTACATGTTCCTGATGACTCCACCACTCTGTCCTTATTTCCATGGCTCTGCTGGTTGCCTACCACCTTGGAGAGGTGCTGCAGGCACTTTCCAGTGGGCTTATGTCATTGGTCAGAGATCTTTGTGTATGTAAAATTTGGGAGAGATCTCTACCATCCCTGCACAACTGATGTTTGTAGAGGATGGGTGAGGCAGTGATGTCCCAGAAAGCTACAGTGCCTTGGGCTATGATCTCATAAGTTAAGCAGGGTTGGGCCTGTTTGTTTTTGGCTGGAGACTTAGAAGGAAAAGTTGATTGCTACAGTCAATTTGACTTGGTAATTCGGAAGGTGGTGCTCTTCCCCCTAGATAGCACAGGCTGACATGCCAGAATGATTAGGCTCACCACAACTCCTAACCTTTTGGAAAAAATGTAAAACCAACATCCTCACCACTCGAGAGTGAACATCACAGGACTCCTGATATTACCCCTGAGTCCCAACCAAATTCCATCTCAAGGCAACCGCACCCTGCAGATGGAGATCCACCCTGCCCTTTCAGGAGGATGCAGAACCCTTTCCATTCACTGCTCAGTCACGTTGTACCTCCAGCTGAACCGCGGCAGAGCTCAGTACAGATGGCAGCAGTATTACTCGGGCAGGCATCAAATACCCTTACAATTAACTTGTGTAAGTGCCCTCACTGGAAAGGGACTATTTAAATGGGAGGTGTTTTCCCACCAGTAGGGATTTTGGAAGCCTTGGTAGGACCTGGTTTGAGCAATAGCCTCCTTGTACTGAACGCAGCATAGCCTCCCTCCAC